TCCACCTTTGAAGCACTAGCATATGCTGTTGCTTGCGAAGACCCTGTCCCATCTCTCCATTCAACCCCTGCACCCCAGCTCTTTTGCTCGGCTTCAGGAGACCCTCCACTGCTGGGTTTGCTGATGTCCCCCATCCGTGCGCTGGACTCCTGTACCCCTGGCCGTTTTCACTGAAGGACAAGAGTCCAGGAGCTCTAGGGACATTGTGGGTAAAGGGAGGAAAGAAGGAGGGAGGGGAGGGAGGGAGGGAGGGAGGACAACCCATAAGGAAGGAAAAGTAAAATTCAGGGAAAGTAAAAGATAGTTGCATTAATTATTTTGTATTTTAATGATTGCCTTGAAGTCTCCTTCAATGGTTTAAAAATAAAATCAAGCAAAACAGAACAAATGTGAAATCTGTTCCAGGAGCTCTAATATCCCAAAATGCCACACAGAATTATTCCTCACTTCCTCTTTCCAATACCTGATTGTAAAGTGAGTTTATTGTGTTTGATATCCTTCTAATTCTGAAATTGACTATGAGTCATAGAGATCCAAAGGAGGAGGATATCTTTAGTTGATAGTGTTAATAATTTACTAGCTGCAAACTGTACCTTTACCCTGAAGACCAAGTAGGAAAAAACATTACTCATGTTTTTTAATCTAAGAATTTTTTACATTTTTATGGCCTGTCCTTTGGGCTTATTTATGATGGTTTATGACAAAGAGACAACTTTTTTCATCATGATTTATATTCTACCGACAAAGGAAACACAGAAAGAGATAACAAACCCAAATTAAATCACAGCACTAGATAAGAAACCCCAAATTAAATCATGACTCTAAAAAAAGTGAAGGTAAGGAGATGACTCATAAATTAAAACAAAAAAGAATATAAGTATTATAGGCTATAAACAAAGAAAATCTCAAACCTAACCTACCAAATCTAACATTTGCCAAATTTTCAAAAGTCTACACCTTGTATTTTTGACATCATGAAATAACACTTGGATATTAAAATATTTTAATGTCACATTTTCATCTTTTTTTTCTTTTGCTTGTGTATTTGTTTGAAAAAAGCAATATTTTTGGTATGGTAAATTGGCATTGGTTGGCAGCAGATAGTCAATATTTTTCTATTTTTTCCATTAACACTAACTTCCAAAACCTTGACCCAGACATCTGTTTTCATTTTTAGTGATCCCTTAAAATTCCTTGATGTCTAACGCCAATTCTAAAACTTGATTGGATTTCATAGAAAGACAATTGACTTAGAAAAAATAAATTGAAAGAATTGAGAGGGAAAATTCTGCCTTTGAGGCTGTCCAATAAAAGCACTATGATAGAGGCCAAGGGTTAGTTCAATAGAATAAGCAGTCAATAGTGTATGCTAATCAATCTAAATACTATACAGCTGTGCACTATCTGAGTAAAAGATGACCGCCAGCTCAGGAATGCTTAAGAAGTGGAGTTAATATAACCCCAGAACTCATTGATGACAACCATGCTCACCAACGACACCCTATTCCACTAAAACTACCATTTTATCCATGCACAACATTGCCTTCAAATGTGTATGGAATTTGGAAGAGGAGTAAACGTTGACCACAGGCTTGCCAATAATGTGCTGAGGTTGTATCATACCACATATTCAAAGGACAAAGTTACCCAGAACCACCATTCTTTATCCTGAAAAAACAGAACCGAAATGAATACCAAAAGGGAAAAAATGTCTAATTCTGATAGAGAAAAATTAGTAGAAATGAAAGAAATATATCATTAAATTCTAAAAGAGATGATTCTAGTGCAGTATTTAACTTCCAAAAGTCAGTTGACAGAGTCTGGAACACAAAACTTTCAGCCAACTGTTATTCCTCTTCAATTGCAGACCCTCAACTGCAGGCTGGTGTGTCTTTTGTGGAGTATTAACTATTCTCTGATAACCTTTTTTAAAACCTTAACAATACATATGTCCATTCAAATGGAAACCCAGAAAGTTATCACAAGAATTGGACCAAGCTTTTTAATACCATACTCTAACTTGTCAAAAAGTGGGGGGGGGCAGTAAAAATTCAAAGTATAACTCTTTGGGTTGAAATTCAAATCATTTCCTATTCATTTCCTATTCATTTCCCATAAAAAGAAATTATGAAGTGGGGGGAAAGCCTACTCAATTACATCTTTTGAAATTTAATTATTGTAAAATTGAACCTAGAAAAGCATGGAGAAACCGCAGCAAGAGATAAAAGAGTATATAAGTGCATAGAATGAAGTGAAGACATGAGAGGCCTGGTGTGTGTGGGTGGGTGTCAAAGTTTGCAAGTGAATGCTATAAACAGAATAAAACAATGGAAATGGAACGTGTGTTCGGCAGACTGACTGCGCGGGGAAAGAGAAACTCTGAAGAACCATATGGTGGGTTCGGTGCTCACACTTTCATTGAAAGAACACTTTATCTATTCTACTTAAAAATAACTTAGCAATGATATGCAAACACATGTTTAACAGAACAGCCACGTTGTTTCACTTGTTACCCCACGATCCATGCCATTTCACCTGCAAAACTCAGGCACTGGACACCTCTGAGGCGACTTTCAGTAATCGTAGGACTCGATTAACCAGTTTTGAAACCATTGTGGCATTAAATTCGTATCAACACATACGAATATAACTGAGGAGGGGAACAGAACCTCAAAAGTACCGCACTTGTGTCTAATCTCCTTAATGTGCACGTGCCTCAGGACTGAGTCCTTATTGTGTTTTATGTCTAGATGTCCTCCAAAAGGCTCATGTGGTCAGAGGTGAGGCTGTTTCAGAGGTGGCTGAATCTACAGTATGTGGTGCTGGGGTTAAGGGTGTGTGATTACTAAATCAGTCCACTGATTGATTTGGCACAGCCCTACTTCCAGTAGCCTAGATAGAGTATAAAAGGGGCAGAAGGAAGCTGCTAAGGTCCCTTGCTTATTTTGTGACCTTCTGCCTGCCATGAACTGTTTCTCCTCTGTAATTCCTGTATGCCATGCCACCCTGTCTTGGAGCCAGCTGATTGTAGACTGAAACTTTCACAATCTGTGAGCTAAATAAACATTTCCCCCTTTCATTTTGGGTGTCAAGTATGTTTCAGCAGTGAGAGAAACATAACTAAGACAGTCCTCATGTTATTGACTCTTGCTCCCTGAAAGAGCTTCACAAACCATCTCTGAGGTGCTCTCAAGCTGTGTCCTGTGGTGCAGACTGAACACTTCTGAGCCAACCTCTCTCTCTCTTTCACACTGCACATTCTATATGGCAGGAGGTCTGGGGCTCTGGCTTCCAAATTCATCTAGAACAGGCCAATTACCACCTCCTGTGTAGATTGTGCTACCAGCTGCCACCCTGGGCCTGGATAGCTGCCACAGTCTCCAGGCTGGTCTCTCAGCTCCCACGTTAGTCTCAAAACATCTACCTGAATAGTCCTTACTGGAAGTGACATCATTTCACTCCTCTATTCAGCACCACCCAGTGATTCTTCATTTCACCAGAGGAAAAGCCAAAGGTCTTTCAGTGGCCTCCAAGGCCATGGTGGACACTGACATGCTGGCCAGATCATCTTCAGAGTGACCGGAACATAGCTGTTGAAGTGCTCTTGGCAGACTGACCAGAGCTGTCATCAACTTCAGAGATGGCCTCAACTGGAAAGTCGCCTCACCCAAGGTCAGGGAGTCAACCCAGGACAGCAGCTGTACCCAATGCCTAAGCCACATGGGGTTATCCAGGCCTAGACACCTCGCCCTGGTCAAGACTACTCTGAAAGGCCACTTTAGGTCCATCCTGCAGGGAGTCAGCTGAGTGCAGGCTGGGCCTGTAAAGCCAATGGACCGTTACTTCCATTCTGCTCCCTTTACTTCTGTCCTTAGTCTCCACGCCAACAGTACTGCTAGCAAACAGCCTGCCAGAGCCCGTCTCTGCAGAGCCAGCTTGCAGCACGGACCTCCATGATCTGCCTCCCTCAGCACCTCTCCGACTTCAAACCTTACCAACCCCTATTCACCCTGTAAGCTCATGGTCTTTGCTCTTTCCTAAAGAGCACAGGCATGGTTCTGCCCTGGGGTCCCTGAAAAGCACTGCTTCTGCCTGGAACCCACTGCCCTCACCTCCTTCCAGTTCTGCCCAGATGTTCCCCCTTCTACACAAGGGGACCCTGATCTACCTGACCAAGAAGGAAGAGAATAGTTTCTCATTTTCCTAATGTATTTGCTTATGTTTCTGGGTGTGTGCTTCCTTTTGAAAAAGTAACAGTAATTCTCTAAAAAGGATTTTGCAAACTGATGTTTTTAATACATAAAGATAGAGCAGTCAAGAGCACAGGCTTTGGACTCAAACAGACTTGGGCCTGACAGAGGCCTTAGGCCTCTCGGCTGTGTTTCTCTATCTCTGAAGGAAGAGTGATGGTGTCGCCTCCTTCTCAGAGTGGTTGTGAAGATTAAACAACTTTGTAGGTAACAGACTGAGACAAAGATTCATGTAAAGATTGGGAATTGTTGAGAGATGGTCCTAAGAAGCCCCATACACCAAGAGTTCCATGGAGTCTATCTGCAAACAGCCAAGACGAGGTCCCAGGAAATCATCTTCTCAGCCCTAATAGTGATAGGCGGGTAGAGAGAACTAATCCTAGAGAAGCAAGCATCACCCCACAGAGCACAGTGAACCTAGCCGGAGGCACAGCACGGTAGCTGCCGAATAAAACAGCCTCAGTGCTTCCATGGTTCGAAATCCCAACTGTTTGCTCTTTTTGCATTGACTTTAATTACTTCAGAATTCATGCTAATCTCTGAGCCCATGTTAAAGAAAAATCACACAGGATTTCAAATATCTAGATCTATATATGGTCATCAGAAGAGCTTTAAACTTTAAAACCAGGCATATGCCTGGTTTTTGAGATTGGAGGCCTAAATCTTTTCATGTACTTCCACCCCCAAAGTTTTTGGTGTTTTTCTTCTGTTTCTGAGAAATGAATTAACTTTACTTGGTTTAAAAATAAAACAATAACACTTCTAAAGGCTCAACTATTCTTGTGTTGCTTTCATCCATTTTTTTATTTAGTACAGTGAAATGTCCTTGTCCACAACCTCGAATCCACATGCTTGGCTCACATCAAGGGGTCAGACTGGAGGCCCAGCCTGCCAAGCGGAAGTGTCACACACCTAAAGGCTGCCATTCCTGGACACCACAAAAGCGTAACATCTACCACTGTTTTGTATCTACCGCCTTTTTAGATTTATCTGCAGATCCTATGATGGTCAATTTCTTTGTCTGAAGAGATAGTCATTCAACCCTGTGTTTAAAAGAATTAACAATGTTCATTTTAGAGATGCCATTATTCAAACTATTATTGTGCAATTACACATTAAAGGAATAATGCATGATTTTTAAATAATAATAATAGTAGTAGAAAATGGTTCTATAATGGGATGAAGAGAGCAGACAGTAACCCCATAACGTTCCCCAGAGTTCCTACTACCGTGTAATTAGAAGAAGACCTTGGACGCTGGTGGAGGTAGATTGAGTTTCCCCAAATCCTACAGATTCACCTGCTGTATGTGGAAATATTTCTGCCTAGAGTAAGGCAGATTTGGGGAACTATCTTCTATTAGAATAGACTCTGTGTGTGTGTGTCTGTGTGTGTGTGTGTGCACGCGCACATGCGTGTGTGTGTGTGTGTGTGTGTGTGTGTTTCCTCTTGGGAAAGTCAGGGGTACAACAAATTATTCAGGGTTTAGTTAGAGTCATAATGTAGAAACTGCCTTAGCATTTCCAAGTTCTCATCTGAAGGTGTTATGCACTCCTCCGATTTTTCTTCATAGCTTTATACAACTTAATATCCAGGCTCGGGAAACTGGAGAGTTCTTCCAGGTCAAACAGCTCCTTAAATCTATCCACAAATTTATTTTCTTTCTCCAGCCTAAATTTCATAGCCCAGAGGATGACAGTAGTTTCTTTGCACAGATGGTCAAAGGTGACAAGGAGCTCTTCCAGGAAAGGATGAGCGTAGACAACATCAGCTGCCAGGACATAGTCAAAATGGCTGGAAGACCTGGGGAAGTTCTTCTCTAAAGCGACTCCCCAGGAGAGTTCAGTTACCCGAGGCAAATGCTTGCATTTCATTTTAGTGTTTCGAGAAATATTATACTGCAGGTTTCCAAGTAATTCGGGTAAATCTGTGGCAGTCACATAAGCACCTGTGAAACAAAGTTTGGTAGAACAAGTAACCCTTACAGAATAAGGCCGAGCCATCGGGTTCCAAGCCAACATGCTCTCTACATTTCTGCACAACTGCCAGTCCCAAAGAAAAGGCTGCTCAGCACATAAAGCAGAACACATGTGAACACGGCTCCTTACCTCCCCTGAAAGAAACCCCCCAAATCCCCCAAAAACTGGAGTCCCACGGTATTTTTACACACCGTTGCATTGTTTTGGTTCTCCTTGTCCTTTGTCTTGTTTCTATTTGTTATTATTTTCTGTTTACTACATGCTAGGTGAAAAATAACCAAGAGAAGGAGAAACCCAAAATATTGGGTACTATCATTAAAATAACCTGGTCATAGATGAAAGAAGAACAGCTACATCCCTGAAAAAATTCTGAGCCTCAACTGTTTGAGATCAAATAAGTGTGTATAACACTGGACATCCTATAGTTGAATAGTAAGTGCTCATGTGAGAATTAGGGGAGGGAACAAAAGTACTTTTCAATGCATTACATTGAAAGTATAATGCAATCATAATCGTGCCCAAGATTTCAATTTGAACCCATTATAAGTACCCACCAAAAAGACGTCAAAAAGCCACAGAGCACAGATACAGAACAGTGTAAAGAGGGAATAAGCAATTCCTGGATTGTAAGTGAATAGCAGTGGTCACGCTCAGGCATAAGTTTGGCAGGAGTGTCTTTATAAAATTTTGCCTTTAAAGTGAGCCTTGAGCAGTAGCAGAGCCTGGAAATAAAGCTAGGAATGGCCACTTCCATAGCTTCAGAGTGGCACAGAATAGGACAAGGAACGCCGGGTGTCACGGCGCACACCTGTGATCTGGCACGCGGGAGGCTGAGGCAGGAGGATCACTGCAAGTTTGAGACCAGCCTGGGCTACACAGTGAGTTCCAGGTCACTCTCAATTACACAGTGAGACCCTGTCTCAAAGAAAAAAAAAAAGACAAGGACTGGGAAAGAAGAAATGGAAAAAGAAGTCTAGTTTGGCTCGGGACGAAGTGGAATCCATCGGTCAGCTGCAGTGTCAAGTTTCTGTTAACATTGACTGGAGCGTGTTTTTGTGAAACTATTAAGAGGGAAGGAAATAGGCACATTAGTGGTAGAATCACAGAAATGCTAGCCTTCGTGCTCTAGTACAAGCAAATCTGTAGTTTTCAACAGGTCTTTTTAAATTCAAAGTTAAGAAATACACCTTGCTCAGACTGAGTGTGAACTATCGGATCGTTACGTTGAAAATCCTGGGTCTAGAAAGGTGGACGTCTCCACTTTCAGAGTACTGACTTAAACACAACTTCCTCCTTTTGATGTTCGTTGCAAGTCAGACAAACACAGTAGAGGCATCGATTCTTTTTTAATAAAACAAATGACTTCCCAAGACACAAATTGTACTCCTGGATCAGGAGCCTTTCAGAATAAATCAAAAGTGTCTCGTGCTAAATGGAATCGTGACACTGAAAAGCAGTATCGGGTCAGAGAAATTTTTTTTAAAAAAATATCTGGGGGACTTCAAGAGTCCTGCATCTCTTCAGTGTTGAGAAAGTGGTAATTGCTAAAACTTGAATTCCTCTCAAGAGTTTCGAGTGGCAGGTGTGCACTTCTGAAGATCAAGGAAATCAAGACAAATTTGGGTAGTGCCCATCAGAGAAGGCAGCTAAATTAAGGCAATGAAATAGATAAAACAAAGAAAGGCAGAGCTGAAACAGGCCCAGGCACAGAGACAGATGAGCACAGAGCTAGCAGGAAAAGACGCTGAGGAGACAATCGGGGGCCATAAAGGAAGAATGGAAAAGAATTGTGAAAATAAATCCAAGAATGAACACCCAAAAATAAAAGCAGGCATGTAGTTTTATGTGACGTCTAATGCCTCCTCTCTATTTAATAGGCTCTTGCTGGGGATTTAGCTCAGCGGTTCGGTGGCCGGCCTTGCAAGCGCAAGGACCCGAGTTCAATCCCCGGTACCAAAAAATAAATAAAAACTGCAATCTATTTAATAGGTTCTTTTTCACAAAATCATGGAATTTCAAAACTCAAATTTATGTACAGCTACCCAAGAACACTGAATTCACTCTACAATCTAAAGTACTGTACATGTACATTAAAATCAGCAGCAACAGACTACGAAGCCTAGCATTTCACATATCTCCTCTCCCAATCAGGATGCTTAAGCACAGCTCCTATGTGGTAGTCTTCATGCAAGGCTTGTGACGTAGCACTCCATGCGAGTAATTAATACAACTAACAGAAAATTCTGCAAAGAAACTGGTAAGGACACTTTAACACTACTAGAGATTCTCAACAAAACCCATTTAAACAACCATAGAATTACAAATAGGCCCAGGTCATAGTACTTTGGACAGTAAAAGCTACCTACTTACCAAGTAAAGTCGCCACGATGGAGACCAGCCCAGTCCCAGCTCCAATTTCAATCACATTTTTATCAACCATATTATATTGCTTTGCATTTGTTTCCAGGAAATAACAAAGAACAAGAGCCTATGAAGATTGAAATTTTTAAAAATTACGAATGTTTGGCAAAAAATAACAGAAAGCAAAGTCAAGCTCTATTAAGTAAATACAACACACATGAGCAAGAGTATATTTCTGAGTGTTCGATACATCATTGCAGGAAGTTAGTATCTGAACGACATCCTCTGATAGGATTCCAGGGTTGTTGGAAGGAAAGATAAATAACTCAAAATTCAGAATTCAGTTGTGTAAGTTTGATCAACTTTAAGGTAAGTAGCTTGTGATAATGCTAGTCCTTCCCGAGTAGTGTGTGAGTTTGAGGAGGGCAGTGATGGTGGATCTGCCACCCCTTATGGGACAGCTGGTAAACAAATGGGACCTTTGGGAATGTTCTGCAGGTGAGACTCACACAGGTATTGCAATTGTTCAACTCAAATGGTGTCCATAAAATGGAACAAAAAAATAGTTTACTATTTTAAACTCTCTCGTTGTCATAAACAACAGAAAGAGTAAAATTTTGTATTTATCCTGCAAATTTTGATAGAAACAGCATTAATTGGATGAAGAAATTACCCAACTGCATCATTTCAAAATGTGACTGTCATTTGAGGTCACAAAGTAAAACAGTGCAGCCTGTTTCCTTCTTCCATGTGGAACATGACAAAAAACAAAACCGACAGAGAACAACTTGGAACGGAGCAAATTTTATACAAAATTATACCGAGGGCCAAACAACAGCTCCGTAACAATCTGTGGCTTCAGCAATCCGAATCTCGTGTCCCACAAAATGGAAGCCTTCCCAGGGAATGTGTGTTATCAGAGTTGGAGTAAAACATCTTGCCATGATCTCTGTAGCCACCTGCTTGTCATCATGGTCATCTCTGGTCTCTGACAGGAAAAGAGAAAAGCAATGATTGCACAAGAAAATCTCAGAAAGAGAAGAGTCCGATGGAAATGCAACATTCCTGCTTGGTGCCTCTGGAGTACTCACTGACCTTAGGTAAAATAAAATAGCAGGCGAAGTAATTTGAAAATACCTCATAATACACGGGAACATCTCATACACCAGTGCCAACACTGCTCTGATGCTTACTAGCGTGTATATCAACACTACCCACTTTTGCAACGCTAAATGCAAATAACTGATACACATTTTGAAAGCAATATGTTTTCCAGATCAAATCGGTTCACCTGGAATAAGGGAAAGATTCGCAGCTGTATATAGTGACTGCACAGAGCGATACCAACTAGCTAAGTCATGGACAGTGGTCTAGTCCTCGTAACTCGCTTTTATGAAGACAAAAGGTACATAAGACCACCATACAGTATACCCTCACATTATCATCATTCATTCCAATAGTGTCATTTTGAGAGAGCTCATGACATCTTAACATCTCAATATTTCACAAGGTTAAGAGGCATCATTAATACCAGTTACTCAGCACATTCTTAACACAGCAGGCCATGTAAAATGCACGGTAATGTTTCATTTCATTGCAACCACAACTTTGTGAGACAGACATTCTTATTTTTTCACTTTCACAAATAACAAATCTAAGACTCAGACCGCTATATGAACTTGACCAGCCTTATATAACTTATAAAAGAAGCCAAACTTGAGCTTCCTTTACGGTTGTTCCAAAGCCTCCCATATAAAGTATTAAAAAGCTGTAGGGTAATTTAAAAAGATTAAATTCTCTAAGAATTTATAGACTAGTTATGTAAAATGTGAAAGATAGAAGAACTTACAGCAAATGGTGTTTGGAGACAAGAAAACGTATGTTGAGTGCTAGCACATCATCCACTACAGAGGACTCAAACATTAATAGCATTATTATTGTTACTACTGCTCTCATCATTACTATTTTGATCATGAAACTGAGAGGCAAAACAAGATGACCATGCAATTAAATCTCACATTGTGTAATGCAGGTTCACAAATTCTACCTTCAATAAGGAAAAGGAAAACCAGAGTGATTCAGGAATGGCTTCATAAAAGATGTTTCTCTTAGGTTTAACCTTTGATCTAGCACATGATTTTCATCAATGGAGAAGCTATTTATTTCTCACACCGATTCTTAAAATCCACTGATCCTTCCAGTCTTGTTTCTGCTGCCTCTGATCTGGCGGGAGTTCTACCAGCTGCCTCCTTGCCCTGCACCCATAAATGGGAAGAGGAGTTGGAAAATAAAGACCAACTCTGAGTGTAAAGAAGAAACAAGAGATGAAAACAAAAAGAAAAAGAAAAACAGCTTGTATCTCCAAGTCTTTATTTTCAAAATCTAAGGCAGAATAACCTTTGTTCCTCAGTTACTCCACTTCCTCATTCAACAAAACGGTAGCAAAGCCACATGTGTGCCGGGTACAGTGCGGAGTGATGGGAACACGGCAGCTAACCAGACACGATCCCAACCCTCCACAGAAGCAGAAAGACGTAGGCACAATTTATCTGAATACGAACGATGCATGGGATATCTCCTAGGATCCTCATGGAGAAATACTGGATTGAGGCATAATCAATTTTTTGAAGAACTTGGTTTTAATGCCCACCTACAAAGACCTTTCTACCAAGTTAGGGGTCTCTCATCCAAGCAGTAACCAGGACCAGCCCTGCTTAGCTTCCAAACCAGACAAGATCAGGCACATTCAGGGTCAGGGACCTTTCTCATAAGTGGTATGTTCTCAGCTTTGCCCTGATGATATTTTTTGTTCATGACTTGACTTACAGATGATATTAATATATGGTCATATATCTAGACAGTAAAATGGCATCAAGTATTTTAAAGAAAATGTGATGCAAGGTATCTTGATAGGCTGGTTTGGAGTGGATCACAGCTGATAATAATAAATGAAGACTGCATTTAGGCTGAGTGGAGCAGCGCTAGCTGATGTGTGGCAGGGAGTTTTGGCCATGAGTCAAAAGTACAAATGATTATCAGAAACCCTCATCCACCCAAGCTGTGTTACACTGTAGTTCATAAGCTGAGGGCAGTAAAAGCTCTGTTCTGTTTTGTGCTAGGAGAGCATACAGATGGTCCCATTGCAATAAGAGAAGCTTCACTTTAGAGAGCTCCAAGAAACTGAGAAATTTTGAAACTCGGCCATTTAAGGTCAATTTGGGTAGCTCAACATGCCCACCAAAAATAGAAAGACCTGAGGGAACACAAGAGGTTTTGCAACTGTGAAAGATTGGAAAATATAAGAGATTAGAGATGCATGTGTGTATGTGTTGTTATGTATTGCATGTGTGTGTGTGTGTGTGTGTGTGTGTGTGTGTGTATCCTATTTAGGATCCAGACAGAACCATGTATATCCCCCAAAGAACTCCAACTCGGCTACAGCCGACCACTCCACTCTCCCACTATCACAAGCACTGACCTTCAATAAGAGACTGAGAATACAGAAAGATGAAAAAATTGCCACTCTTCAGCAAGAGCCATTTCTTCAAACACATTTCACTGCACTGCTTAAATGACTGCAAGCGTTCACATGCAGGAGGAGCTCCAAGAACCAAATAATATTGGTAAGATGTTTTATTTGAACTTTAGCTTTCATTTCACTCTATGTGCTTGGCATACTAAGATTGAAGGAGGGGGAGAGCAACGTTCGCCATGAAGTTCTTTAGGGAAAAGGAGAGAACATTAATTGCTTCCTTGACCTTTAGCTGACGGTGTCCTCTGGGGCCTCCTTGCCTACTCCTTGTAAATGTAGCGCTTCTTTGACAAGTCACCTACAGTATCAGGGATTAATAGATGTTAGAGCACCAAATCCCAGGAGCATCTCCCAAAGTTCCAGCCTATGATATAAAAACTTTGCCAGTGAATATTTACTGGTACAATCTGATATCTCTGACTTTGCATGTTCCTTTAAAGGTGAGTTGGCCAGATTAGTGCTCCTGTCTAACAAGTAGTTGACAAATGAACTCCTGGCTTTTGACTCTGTCTTTTGAAATAAATAGAACTAGTCATTTCTTTGGATAAGGACCACATCTTTACCTTCATAAGGACATGAAGTTTTAAAATCATATGTGAATGTATTGTTATAATTGAAAACTAAATAGCCTACCAAGATAAAGGACCTTCCAAGAGATTTTATGAGAAAACTATAACCACTACGGATTGCATAGGGACTCTAAACACACAAATCAATCAATTATATATGGTAATTCAAAACTACACTCCTAGAATGTTTTGTGTCATACAGATAATATTATCAGGTTGAAAAAAATTGAATTGATAATATATCAGTATTCTTTTTTGCACTTAAGTACTATATGAATATTATGGGAACTTCATAATCAGTAATCCCCATGAAAATTAACATAATGTTTTACCATGAAACCAAAATGGATTGAATTTGGCTACTTAAAACAATTTGTTGTAAAGGGCTAAAGGTGTAGGGAAAGTGGGAAGGGTGGGGGAAAGGTAATAAGGGAGAGGAAAAAAATATGAGAAACTGAAAAAATGGAAATAAAGTGTTTGTAAATGGGGAGGGGAGGAGGGGGTGAAGGGAGGGCAGGGACAAGGGGAAAAATGAGAATCAAGACCTATTATGTAAAGGTACAGAATCCCAATGATGAATGTAATTGTATTGTATACCTAGATTGTACCAATAACCTCAATAAAAAGAAAAAAAATTAAAAAAACCAATTTGTTTAAAGAGGAATAGGATTTGTATAAGCTCACGACAATAAAATTGTTTCCTTTGAAGTAATCTACAAAGCTTAAGACAAAAACTTTGTAACAAAGAAAAACAGTAAAAATTTGTCTAAATATAATATGTGGGATTTTAAAAGCAAACATGCACACACACACACAATTATTTCCATCTTAAAATATTGGATTCTCTTTCCCAGCACAAGCTTCTGTTTAAAGATTTTGAGGCAATCACTTTAATACAGTGGTAATTATATAAATCAAAAGACATGTTTAATATTAACTGCTAGTAATAACAAAACCATTTCAAGGTTAATAGCAAGACTCTCACACGTAGAATTTAATGGAATCTGCACACTTTACAAAGACATCCCTAGAGCAACCTTGTAATAAGAAGGAGGAATCTATGCTCTAAACACCATCTATAAAGAACATGTCCCCTAAATCGTATGCTTAATTATTTGTACAATATGGGATTGAATGTTGAAAATATTAATTTGCAGATAGAATTTTGGATTTCAGTTCAGATTTAAACAATTTCCTCCAAAGATGAAAAACATCATCATACAATGGAATTCCAAAATATATTTTTTAAGGAATCATTTTCCCACATATATTTTCTCACATTCAGATCCCAGGACAATTCATGAAAACTGGGTCATTTTACAAAAAAGTGACATCATGACTTGTCTATGTGAAAAACAAAAAATTCCCAATATCTGTACTTTTAAATAAACGCTATCTACTCTAACTTTAGCATATTATTTTCTTGACGAATCTAATGTTGAAATATAGGTTTCAGAAGGTTGTAAGTAAAACAGTCAAGACATAGAATTGCAATTATGTTGATACATTGGGCTTATCTATTTTAATGTTTCTTCATGCAAACATCATTTGTCTGCTAGCACATCTTTGCTGACAGTGATTTAAAAATCTACCAGGTGCTCTTGTTCTCCTGAGAACTAAAGGCATTTCAAGTATGAAGTGAAGATTAGCAAGATTCTGCCACATTATGGTGATGATTAGCTTGAGGAAATTTTGAAATGAATTGAGCTGGATGGCAGCAAGTGTTCAGAAACAAAGGTTCTGTCTATATTCTTCTCTTTTATAATTCTAGGGTCAGTAAGAACAATAACAAATGGAAGGGTCAGAGCCCAGAAGTACACCCAAAAGGGGAGGGGGCGGACCACTAGCTCTTTATAGCTATGACAAGTGAATTCAAGCTCCTATCTGAGGGCTGCCATGAAAGCCCGTCAGCAAAATTCAAAGTAAAAACCACTCTACTAAGTGAAAGAGGCTGTCATTCAACTGATCTTCTATCCCAAAATGACTGTCATGTGCTTTGTAGAAATTCCTACAGATTAAAAAAAATGTTCAATATATTTTCAGATTAATAAATGGCCACAGGCTGACTTGGAATATACAAATCTGAACACCTCACCAATGTCATGATCATGGGCCCTGATGTTGAAATGAATTCCACAGAAAATTCCACAATACTACATTTTATGTCTCTACAGGACTGATAAAATTCACCTTTTATTGATACTGCTCAGGATTCAAGTGGTAAACAAAAACAGAAGAGTCTCAATTAGTTGCTCTTAAATCTTGCAACTTGGATCAGTGGAAGGAAAAGACACCAAATGTCAGGGATGATCAGCAAGTGCTAAGATGAGATTTCTCTCAAGTGCTATGGAAGTAACACCAGTTCATCTAATCTGGAGAGGAATCTTAGAGCAGCCACGTGCACTCAGAAAGCTGTGAGAAGACCCAGATGCATCTTGGGTCACTGTGGAAAATCATCCTGAAGAAGTAGGTCGAGACCAGCCCTAGGTGCAGTGTTGATTTCTTCTGTAATGTGAGGAGGAAACAACAAAGACTGAGGCCCTGACATACACGGGTATGATATTGAAGAACTACATCTTGTAGCAGTACCTGAAAGACATCTGCTGGGGAGGCTGTTGCAGCTCTAGACAAAAGACAGCAAGGGTCTGCGTGAAGGCCGCAGCCAGGAGAGAGGAGCCAAGTAGGAATTTGTGTGCTTTGGTGGGGGGGGGTCCACCGATCCATGGGGGCAGTAAATGTCATTCAAACTTGACATTCAAGTCTGAGTTTTGAAGACATATGAAGTACACTGGTCAATTTAAGTTATTTTTAATTCAACATGTGGAATGTTAGCCTTATTTATTAGATATTTATTCAGGCTACTTTTTAAACATTTAAAATGTGTTAATGAGTGATTCTCACTTTAGTAACTGTAGGTGCTATGTAGCCCCCCAACTAGTTCAAGGGATATATTGCCCCCCAAGGTGGTTTGATAGGTTTTCTAACTAGAGATAGAATTTATCGGAATGAGCGCTTCTTCATATATTAAGGAAACATCATTCATATGAGCCATTAATCCAATTCTGTGAAGATTTAAAAAAATCCTCCTCAGAGATTTTTATGTGATACCCCAAATAGAACGTTATACGAGGTCCTACAGGAAGTCAGCTGACTATGAGCAAAAAATAGGTCATCACTAGCGAGCAATCAAATCCAACCAAGAGTTCTCCACTATAGTCATTCATTTGCTCATTCACTGAGCATCAAAGTGCTAGGCCAGGAAGGCAGACCAATATATAAGTGCTGTAACAGAGGCTTAACTAGACCCTTCAAAAAGGGAAAGTCCCAGAGGGAGGGCAGGGTTATGGGGGAAAAAATGAGAACCAAGACCTGTCATGTAAAGGTCCAAGATCCCAATGATGAATGTGACTGTACTCTGTAACTAAAAAGTACCAAAATATTCAATGGGAAAAAAGTGGAAAGTCCCACATCTTAGAGAACTCAACAAAGAATTATCTGAACCTTCATGATTATGAGTTTGCCAGGCAAGTAAGATAAGGACAATGTGCCATGCATAGAAAATGATATGTGCAAAAGCCACCTAGCCAAAAGTCTCTTGACCGATTTTCCAACCTGGGAAACTCTGAGAACTAAAATATCAGACAAATGGGGTGAGTAGCATGAGATAAAATGCTGTATGCCTTTCAGTTGGGTCTTGATTTTATCCTGTAGGAAATAATGAGTCACTGAAGCATTTTAAGCAAAGACAAATGCAACGAGATTTGAATTTTAAAAACGGATATAAACTCTAATGCAGATAAAGAAATAGGATAAAGAAAGTGCAGAATAAGATAGCCAATTAAAGGCAATTAACAACCCTGGAGAGAAGAAATTATGATGAAGACCAGAAGCAAGGCAATTAGAGTTGGAACCAGGAAATGAAGGGTAGGAAACACGAGGGAGGTAAAGCCAATAGGATGTAATGATGAAGGGTGTGAAGGAGGGGAGAAGACCAGAATGATGACACACTTCCGGGTAGCTACGGATATACACGGAGACAGAAAATGTAGGTGGGGGGCAAATCTGCCAAGGGAAATGTACACCAACCTGTGGTGGAATGTGCTGGCCGAGAAAGTGACTACTGGGCCTAGGAGGTCCAGGTGCAGGAACTTTGGCTCCTGAAGACCTCACTTCCCCACTGGGCTACCACGGAAACCAGCTCATCCCAAGCACGCTCTTCTGGCACCGCTTTTGTTCAGGGCCTCCCCAGTGCCTACCTGAGACTTGCTGGGTACTGCGCTGCCTGCCGCTGAAGGAGAGTTTTTCCTCTTCCCAATCCGCCTAGCCCTCTCCTCGCGCAGGCGCAATACCTACGCGGGGACCTGACAGCGCCCTCTGCCGGCTGCGGTTCCTTCCTTCTCGGTCCTCTATGTGCTCTCCCCCACCAAAGTCCCTCTCATGCTTGATCTGATTTTTGGCAGTTCTGGGAGGGCCCAAACTGACGGAAGGAAGCAGGCACGATGTCCAATAAGCAACTGGAATGGCAGGCTTGGGCATCGCTGTGCAGAAGAACAACGGAACCTTGAGTAAAGATGCATCTTTACTCCGAGTGTAGACCCTTGGGAGGTGACCACCTCATACGAGGCAAATGAGCGTCACTCGGGACTTGAGAATGGAGTGTTCCTCTACTTGGGGTTAGGGCTTGGGGGAAGCCTTGCCCACGAAATGCCATCTGGCTCTGCTCCGGGAGCATGCACTTAATCCCTTTAGCGCTGTGCTTTTGAACATATTTTTAAAGCTTTAATTGGCTACGTAGATGATTATGGGGTATGTTTGTTCATGTTATAAAATATTTTAATACTAGCTCTGTCGCAACCTTACCTTGAACTATTTCCATTTCCTTTGTAATTTGCCAAATTATCAGGCACACAGTAGAAACCAAGAATTGTTACTAATGGTAATGATAATGATGTGATTTTATTCATAAACCACCCAGAAATTACAAGTTCGCTCAAATTATCTAAATGGCTAGAATCTCTGTAAGTGATTACAGCTTGCAATTTCGGATTTACAAAAACTGCTGCAGGAGAACCTTCAGTGTGTGAGCCAGGTGGGCTGCTGCAGGTAGCATAAACCCAGCTCTCTCTACCTGAAGATGTGCTCACCTAGGCAGAAGCCACATGGTGTGGCCGGGAAGGGAAGGAACAGTAGTTTCACAAGAATCAAAATAACTAGATTTATTAGAACTGCTCTGAAAAGACATGGTAATTCTTTAGTCTATCCCAAGAATATAGGTCTGCACTTTTTATCTCAAACAATGGGGATAGCTATGTGACCATGCTGGGTCATGCTTCATATTTAAGACTGTGAAAATGGTGGGCCAGTTTCAAAGAATTAAATTTGTAGTAGAATTAAAACAAATTTTCTATCTAGAGGTCCAAGTACATTACGTGTTTGAATAAATAGCACATGGACTACGAACGCATCTTAGAGATGTTTTTACAACCTAAATTCATTCAAAGTTTTTACATGGAAATATTTTTATCTCTTGATCTGAAATGAAATGATTTAGAAATCACAATCATGCATTTCATGTATGGCACTAGGGAAAAATTATTTTTGCAATTAAAGGAAAACTAAGTACTTTGTTGGTTTATATATTTACATTGTTGTCTATTACAATTATCTCTAATATATCATCAGGCCCATTGGTGTTATAACAGCACACATTAAACATTGGTGGAGATGCTTGCAGGTTAACAAACACCATCCAAGACATGAAATGTAATTACTAAATGTCCAGACCCGACAGTTGAGAAAGAGTGAAACAATGTTCTGACTTATTTAGACATTACTGAACACTACAAAACAAAGACTTTACGGTCTAATCATTGTTTGTCTTCTTAGAATTGGATGAATCACACACAAAAAATATTTACCTTCTTGACTCTCTGGATCCATCAAGTGATAAATTACTGGGTGGCTATATTTTGATATTTTCTTGATCATTTCTTGAGAACTAGGCAAATAATACATCAAAATGTCAAACAGCAATTCAAAATATGTATTAGGCATATTTATACTTACTAAACTTCAAACATAGCTGAGAAAAGTATATTAAATGCCATATATTAGACTTTAAAAAGATCATCTAAGTATTATCCAGTCCAAATAAATATGGAAACAAAGGTCTCAGAGTCAGAAATTTTTAAATCTCCTGGAGAAAGAATATACTCCTCACCAAAGACCACCTTGGCTGTCACAAAAAAAGGCATCCTCGGGCCGGGGATTTAGCTCAGCGGTTCGGTGGCCTGCCTTGCAAGCTCAAGGACCCGAGTTCAATCCCCGGTACCAAAAAACAAAACAAAACAAAACAAAAAAAGGCATCCTCGTCATATTGACTAGTAAGACAGCAAATCTGAGAGGTGATTAAAAACACCGGAAAGAAATAGGTTTTGTTCACTGTGGTGAAAACTGTAACATCAGTCTCAAATAAATCTTCCTAGCGACTCATGCAAAGTTCGCTTGTTCCCATCAATGAGTCATTAGCAAGTTTGCAGTGTCAGACACCCGACTGCCAGATGGTCTTTTGAATAGCTTCTCCCTTAGAGTCCACACCATCCCAGCAAACATTTAAGACTGAAGAAATTGTTTTATTCCATTCAAGTAGATCATCAGAATTAGCTTAAATGAGCTGTTATTCAACTGGAAAGCACACCTTTTGTTTGTACTTCTCAATTTGATGACAGAGAACAAGTAGATACTGTATACCATAAGTTAATATAACATTACTTTCTTCCAAAGATCCCAAAACACTTTTCACAGCCACCACATTTTTCTCTACAGAATGCCTTGGTAAGTTAGAAGCAAAATCATTTTCTGTACCGTTCAAAAACAAGGAAAACCGAAGGTTAAATAACGCCACCAAGGTCACACAGCTGAAACAAAAGCAAGTCACACATTTTGCTCCCAATTTAATGTCTTCCATTAAAGAAAGCAGTCTTTATTATACCTGTCTCCCTGAAGGACAATATTTATTAGATGCTAAATCTGGACGTACCTAATGGGTCAGCTGAGTTTCTAGAAGGTAAAATTTCTTTCATCCACAACTTTTGTTTTGCAGCCGAGACCTCTGGTGCCTAAAGCGGGAGCAGCACTGAAGCACACGGTTCACTACCCTCTGGCAGGAAGTCCAAGCAGAAGGGAACAGGACCCTGACAGCTGCAGCTTCAGTGTTTCTGGTTATGCAGCAATGAGGATGGAATGCCTTGTTAAGTGGGGGCTAAAGAACAGTAGGACTATGTCAGCTGAGTGTCCCATGAACTGAGCTAGAGCTGATCAGTGAATACAAACCACGCCTGCAAGTAAGTGAAGACTGCGGGAAGCAAGCCAATGTTGCAACTTCAATGCCAAGAGTTATTCTAGGATCCCATGGCTATGACGTCCTAAGAAATGGAAGCCACATACTCTTGAACGTCACCTGCCTAGGTGTGAACACTGCTTTTAGAATCCAACAGCTTCGCAAGCATGTGTGCAGCATCGGTCTGCACGCAGGAATCAAACGTCCATGACTCCTTCCTACTCTGCTGGGCAGGCTGAGGATGTGCAAGTCGTCTGTGCACCTGCCCATGTGTGTGCAGGTGGGCACCTCAGAGCACCACCGTCACTGAAAACGCCCTCCTGGATACAAAGCTCCAGCTGAAATCACAAAGTTAAACTGAGGGGTGTGAGTTGAAATATTTTCTATACCATGATGCTAGAGACTTGGAGAAACCCAGAGGTACTGGGTAGTATTTTTACCAGCTTGCATTCGATGGCACTTGGCAGCAGCATTCATTGCAGTCTTTTTTTTTTTATCATGTCTCACTGATCAAAAGTTTGCAGCAATTTCTGTCAAAGAAAAGCTCTGCATGTATCCTCATCCACCTTCACTGACTATGGCACTGTGTGATTTCTGCCTTTTCCCCAAAGTCAAAGTGACCATGAAAGGTAAACATTTTGCATCAATTCAGGACATCAAGGCAGCCATGACAACGCACCCAAAAACACACCCAAGAAGGACATGCAAAGCCGCTTCAGAAACTGGCAAGCGTGGTGGGAGAAGTCAGTTCAAAGGGAAGGGAAGCACGTTGAGGGGAAGTAACAGCAATGTGTCTCCTGCTAAAATACATTACAAAAGTTAAACATTCGCTGGAGTGTTTGATCGTATCTATACAGAACGAAAAACGGAACTTAACAAAAGAATAATGCAGTCAAAACGCACAACTGATCTAAGCAGCTGCTTCTCAAAAGAAGTGCGCACAGTCAGTAAATAAATGAAAGTGCTCAGTGTCTTTCCCATTAGAGAAATGCAAATCAAAAGTGCATTGAGAGTCTGCCTCACCCCACCTAGAATTACGGCTATGAAAGAAAAATACTGGAGAAGAGGTGGAGAAAAAAGAACCCATA